TGATCCCTAATAATGTGGTTATGTATGGAATGAGCTTCACTGGGACAAAACCTTAAATGCACTTGTTAACAACATATATATATATATATATATATACACACTTCTCATTAGTGCATATACTTCTCAAATTTTAAATAAAATTAATCCCTACACTAAAACACGCTTTACTAGAAAAAAGAAAAAAAAGAAAGTTATCAATCCTATTAGCAGACATTCCAAAACCCCATCATGGTTTTCATCTTTCAAGAAATCCATTAAACATCATTTTCCAAATTTCTCCCCAACTTATCCCAAAATCAAAATGAAAAATTAAAAAGGCCAAAAAGTCAAGATATATATTTTCAACATTCTTGTTTTTTCTAATGTGAGGAAATATAATTTTATATTGATCCAATTATAAGAAGAAGAACCCATAAAGCTGAAATGAAATATATTTATGAATTAGTGTAAGGATAGGTTTGAGGCCATCGACCTCAGATGTACTATGTGTTTATTAAACTCGAGTCATTCCCCAAGCTGGAGTTTGGTTACTTAATAACTGATGCGAGATTTAAGTTGAGTTCTTCCCAGTTGCATGGTAATTATAGTGAGAATGTCCTCACCTAATCCTCCATTCTCAAGATCTTTGCCCTCTTAGACACGTCAAATCCCGATTATTTCATTAAGCAAGCCACATAAGTATCTCATTAAGACCTAAAAATACCTCTGAGGGTTACTTCCAAAAGATAATTTAAACCGACCTTAAGCTTTCTTTCCATTCCTCTTTAAGAATATACCAGATTATTACCGACTTAAATATCAGAGTGTCTACCTCGAGAATCAATCTTGGGGTTTTGCAGGTTTGTTTAAAGAGAAGACTTGGACTGAAAAGGATTTGTTGATTCGTTGCGATTAAAATTAGGTAAGGACAAAATTTTAGATATGCTTTAAATCAATTTTAGTTCTTAAAGATTTGGGCAAAAAAAGAAAAAAAGTTAGTTGTACTTAGCTTCTTACTTGCATATACAGGTAATGTGTGAATGAAATTCAATTGTAACTTTCAATTATTTCATTCATTTATTTAATAATTAAATCTAAAATTTCATTTATTTTTACAATTTATTAATATTTTAATTAGAAAAAAAGTTATCCCATAGGTTATATTACAAGAGAGTTTAATTTAATGTTAGCTAATTAAATTATAATGTTTTTAAAAACGCTATAATTCGATTGACTAAAAAACTTTCTCTTTTTCTTCTATCCTCTCTGTTCCCTTCAACCCAACATACTATAGGTTGGCTGACGATTAAGGGAGTAAAATAACAATTTTTTGATTAAGGGGTAAAATAGCAAGTGGGAGGCAATCGATCCTAGTGAAATGACCCTAGACACTTGTTGGAATAGGCCCAACGTCCAAATGGGGCTGTACATAATGGGCCTAGGCGGACATCGGCCCAATTTGAGGGAACACCAGTATAAGCATACCCACGTGAACAGCAACACGTGGGCAAATGAGATGCTTACACGTGCAGATACATGTCAGCACTTGGGGCTATAAATACCCCCCCAACTACCTCTGGAGAAGGTAATTAATCTCTACGCTTCTCTCTCTGCAATTACTCCTTGAGAGCATCTCTCTCTAGAATATCGAGTATTGCTGACTTGAGCGTTGGAGTGTTTTCCCCGAGGAAACATCCTCGGGATTTTCAGGTGTGGAAGTAGCTAAGGACTCCAACAGTGTTGGACTGCGAAGCTGCCCAAACATTTGGCGCCGTCTGTGGGAAACCGAACAAGAAGCTGCGTAGTTTAACCTGCAGAAAGACAAAATGGTCCGTACCTTTATTGGAAGTCGCCCTCCAAGAAATGAAATGGACGAACAGGAGGATACTCAACTGTCTGAGCCCGGCTTGAATGATTTTAGGCCAATGCCGAGAAACCTTTTTGTAGGGGGAGCAGAATAGGATCAATTAAGTGGAACAGATGATGATGAAAGAACACCAACTGGGTATGCAACTCAGCCCGAGCATTTCCAAATTCCAACAGGAACAAGGCAAAGATATCTTAGGCCAAGCAATCTACAACAAGAACGACCTGAAAGGTCGATAGAGCCTGCTCGAACAACCGAACTCGAAGAGAGAACCAGAGTTCTCGAAATGGCAATGGGTAGAATCCTTGCCCTTCTGATTCCTGATAACCCCCTGATTCCTTTGTTGAACAGGGATGCACAGCCAGCTACGGTTGTTGCAACTCGAAACTCCCCCGCTCTGAGCAACATAGTAGTGCAGACCAAGCCAAGGGGAAGTGGGAAACTAAATAACGAGCCCAGCTCGTCCAAGCATAGTGAAGAACTGATGAGAAAGAATGCAGACCTTGAAAGGCAGCTACGGGACGTACAGAAATCCATTGACGAGCTGAAAAGTCCTAGGTCGCACAAACAGACCCTTGATCTGGATAGTGCCCCACTAAACTTATCCATCACAACGGAACTGTACCAAGAGGGATTCAAAATCCCCCACCTAGAAACATATGATGGCTCGGGTGACCCAGATGAACATTTGCACACCTATTAGGCCATCATGAGAATCCAAAAATGCCAATGATGCCATGATGTGCAAAGTGTTCCTAGCGACACTAAAGTCAACGGCCAGAAGATGGTATCATAAACTCCCCAGACACTCTATAGACTCATACTCCCAGCTCGCCAAGCTCTTCTCCAACAAATTTGTGAGTCAAAGGGAGATCAAACGTACAGCGACCGAGCTGATGCAAGTTCATCAGAAAGAGGGGGAATCTCTAAGGGACTACATGCAACAATTCAACAAGGCAACTTTAGACATTGATAACGTCCTTGATACCATTTGCTTGTCTGCTCTGCTGCATGGTTTGAAACCCGGTCGGTTCCTAGACGACCTATTAGAAAACCCACCGAAGACGTGGAACGAAGTAAATGACAGGTCGGCTAGCTTCATACTGTCAGAAGACTTCCAGTCGTCCAAGCGACGAGCTGATGATAAGCAGGGCAAAAGCCATGAACAACCACTGAGGAGAGAACAAAAGAAAAAGCAGAAAGTCAACGAGCAATGGGGGAAGCCCGTTGACTTTCTGAGGTATGCCAACTACATCTCGTTAACCTTGCCAAGGACTCAAATCCTGGCACAAATCCAGCACTGGATTAGAAGACCCCCACCCCCACTACATGATTCCCCAAGAGCAGACAAGAGTAATTGTGACTACCACTGTACTTATGGTCACAACACAGAAGACTGCCAACACTTGAAGGATGAGCTGGAGTTCTTAGCTCGGAATGGGAAATTGGAAGGATATGTGCAGAAGCCTTATACCCAGCAACCATCTCAAACTCACTTTGTGCAAGGATATGACCGACCTCAGGGGCAGAGGTATCAGCTCGGTGGCACACAGGATGTGTATCAGGACAGTCAATATCCTTCTGAGCAGGGCAGAGCGTACAGGGGACGTCAATTCAATAGGCGAGGCCAAGGATAGAGAATCGCCACCTAGAACCAAAAAGATAGGAAGGGGGTAGGGTATGCTGGGATACCCCCGACCTCGGGCACAATAAACATGATCTCGGGAGGTATGCACTCTAGAGGCTAAAGCGCTCGAGGCCGTAAAGCATATGCCCGACAGGTGATGACCGTCAACAAGAACAGACCTTTGAAGCGGCCATTCGAGGAGGCAGAGTGGGAGAATGCGCCTATTACATTCAGCCTAGCAGATTACAAACGAGCAGAATGAGAGCCTGACGTTATGATGCCCCATGTAGATCCTTTTGTGGCAATGGTTCATATAGGCAATCATAACGTCAACAAGGTGTTTATCGATACTGGTAGCTCGCCAGATATCTTATATTGGAGCTGTTTTCAAAAGATGCAACTGAATCCGAGCTCGCTACAGAAGTATGAAGGGCCCATATATGGGTTTGATAACCAGCACGTCCCGGTTCAGGGAGTAATTACTCTTCCCATATATGTGGGCTTAGAACCGCGCTTTAGGATGGCTTCTGTTAACTTTCTAGTTGTTAAGATGGAATCAGCTTTTAATGCCATATTAGGAAGAGCTACTTTGTGCGAACTGAAAGCTGTTATCTCACAACCCCATCTCTACATGAAATTCCCAACTCCTCAGAGGGTAGGAGTGCTAAAGGGGAATCAAAAGATGGCCAGAGCCTGCTATCAAGATACATTTAAGAAGGTTGAGCTTGCTGTAGCCCCGGGAGGCCCTTCTGGAGGTAATAAGCCGACTCAGCCCGGTCAACAGACCATGAGCATAGCAGACATTGAGCATCGACCTGAAGGTGTCTAACAGAAGCAGAGCTAGTAGAGCCAGTAGAAACAGTCCCCTTAAACCCTGATGTGCGGGAAAGAACAGTCAAGATCGGCACCAAGCTCACAGAAGAAGAACGAGCAGAGCTTCTGGAGTTTTTGAGGGTTAATCAAGACGTGTTTGCGTGGACTACGGACGAAATGCCTCGCATCCCAGTAGAGTTGACATTCCACAAGCTCAGCACAGACCCAACCAAAAGGCCGGTAATGCAGAAACGTCGCCTTTTTGGTCCTGAGAAGCAGGCTGCTATAGATGAAGAGATACAAAAGTTGCTACAAGCAGGCTTCATCAGGAGAGTTGAATACTCTGAGTGGGTGTCTAACCCTGCGCTAGTTAAAAAACCGAATGGCAAGTGGAGGATGTGTATCGATTTCACCAACTTAAATGAGGCGTGCCCAAAAGACCCTCATCCCTTGCCAAATGTCGAGAAGCTAGTAGAGCGGGCAGCCGGACACGAACGGATGAGCTTTCTTGATGCCAGCTCGGGTTATCACCAAGTTCAGTTACTGCTAGACAACCAGGAGAAAATAGCTTTTTATGCTGGTGACGCAATCTACTGCTATGTCATGATGCCGTTTGGCCTGAAAAATGCTGGCGCAACATATCAGAAGCTGGTGCAAATCATCTTTAAGCTCCAGATCGGCAGGAACATAGAAGTATATGTGGACGACATGATAGTCACAAGCGTGCAAGCTGAGGATCATATAGACAACCTGAATGAGACTTTTCAGAACTTGCGCCGAGCCCAAATGAAGCTGAACCCCCTGAAGTGCACATTTGCTGTAGAATCAGGAAAATTCCTAGGGTACGTGGTATCCAAGAAAGGAATTGAAGTAAACCCAGAGAAGGTTCAGGCCGTTCAGCAGATGGAGCCACCCAGGACTGTAAAAGATGTGCAGCGTCTGACGGGTCGTGTTGCTGCGCTGCATAGGTTCATTGCCAGGTCGACAGAAAGATGCCTCCCCTTCTTTAAAGCCCTGAGAGAGCCCGAGAACTTTCAGTGGACAGATGAATGTCAGCAGGCGTTTGACGAGCTCAAACAATATCTAGCATCAGCACCCCTGTTGTCCAAGCTTGTGGAAGGGAGAGTTTGTACCTGTATCTGGGGGTTATGGAGGAGGCGGTGAGCTCGGTCCTACTCAGGGAAGAGAATAAGAATCAGAAACCTATTTGCTATGTGAGCAAGGTTTTACAAGGCGCCGAGCAGAACTACCCACTGGCAGAAAAGGCTGCTTTTGCCCTGGTTTGCACAGCTCGTAAGTTGAGAGCTTACTTCCAATCTCATCAAATTGTTGTCTATACTGATCTGCCGTTGAGGAAGATATTGCAGAAACCGAAACTCTCCGGTCGGCTTATCGGATGAAGTGTCGAGCTGAGTGAGTATGACCTCAAATTTCAGCTGCGCACAACCATAAAGGGCCAAGCTGTGGCAGATTTCCTGGTAGAATGCATCTCAGCGACTGTGGAAGAAAAGGCACCCGAACACCCAGTCTGGGTCTTGTATGTTGATGGAGCTGCTAACGTTGAAGGATCGGGTGCTGGGGCCGTGTTAGTGGGCCTAGATGGCTTTAAATCCGAACATGCACTGAGGTTCAAGTTTCAGACAACTAATAATGCTGCAGAATACAAAGCCCAAATTTACGGATTGAAATTGGAGTCCGAGCTGAAGGTACAGAGCATTCAAGTTTTTAGCGACTCTCAGCTCGTTGTACGGCAGGTGAATGGCAACTGTGAAATTAGGGATCCCCAGCTTGGTTGTTATGCTTCTGTGGTCAACAGATTGAAGTCAGGATTTGTCTCTTTCCAAATCGACAAAATACCAAGAGCAGATAACCACCGAGCTGACGAGCTGTCAAAGTTGGCCTCCTCGCAGGACCTTAACCCTCAGAGATCAACAATTATTGAAGTGCTCGATGCCCCGAGCTACACTGATTTCATAGTCGAGTGTCAGCTGTTAAGCACAGATCCCTCTTCACCGAGCTGGACTACCCCACTCATAGAGTATCTGCGAAGTGGTGAACTGCCTAAAGATCACTCCGCAGCAAAGTTGATTAAACGTAGGGCGGCACATTTCACTTTGTTATATAATCAGCTTTACAAACGAGCAGCCTCAATGCCCCTTTTACGCTGCCTTACTCCTTATGAAACTGAATATGCTGTGAGAGAAGTTCACGAAGGAGTATGTGGCACACACATAGGTGGCAGAACTTTAGCTCGGAAACTCCTGAGGCATGGTTATTACTGGCCTACTATGGTTGAGGACGCACAGAATTATGTCAAAAAGTACCCGACCTGCCAGTTCAACGCTGATGATATTCACATGCCAGGTATCTGAGCTCGTCCTAAAGTTCGTGCGAACTTCTTGTTTGTTTATAAACTGAGCATAGGTATCTTCGTTAAAACAGGAGAAATGCTCTCATCGCTCTCATCACTCTCATCTTCCTGGCCTTTTGCTCAATGGGGAGTCGACCTACTCGGCCCTTTTGTGAAAGGCAAAAGAGGTTGCATTTACCTCATGGTCGCGGTGGATTACTTCACCAAATGGATAGAAGCTAAACCATTGTCCACGACAACAGAAAAGAAAATAGAAGAATTCTTGTTCAATTCAATATTGTGCAGGTATTCTTTGGTGACTTAAGTCATTGATTCATTATATGCAAATATAATTTGTGGCTCAGCTCGGTCATCTGTGTACAGGTTCGGTATTCCTAAGAGGATCATCGCAGACAATGGTTCGCAGTTCCGAGCCGCGGCACTGAGGTCGTTCTGTAACGACTATGGCATCGAGCTTGCCTTGACATCTGTGTATACTCCACAATCTAATGGGTAAGCCGAGTCTGCCAATAAAATCGTGTTGCGAGGTCTCAAGACGCGTGTTTTGGCTGCACATTCTAATTGGGTTGACGAGCTCAATAAAGTGCTTTGGTCATGTCGCACTACACCTAGCTTGGCCACAGGCGAAACTCCATTCAGCCTTGCCTATGGAGTTGAGGCCATCATCCCTGTAGAGATCGGATTGCCATCTGACAGAGCAGATCGGCACAACGACGATCACAATGAGCAACTCTTAAGAGAGAACCTAGACGTTGTGGAAGAGATCAGGGAGATCTCTTGAATAAGGAACATAGCGCATCAAAGTTGTGTTGCAAAATTTTATAATAAAAGAGTTCGAGCTCGTCAGTTTCAGGTCAGCGATCTGGTTTTACGCAAAGTTGGATTAACCAATACTTATTCATGCATGGGCATGCTTGCTCCTAATTGGGAAGGTCCCTATATGGTCGTTCAAATCAAGCGACCTGGATCTTATGTGGTAGCAGATGTACAAGGACACCAGTTGCCATATATCTGGAATGTACATAATCTTAGAAGATTTTACAGTTAATGTATATGTTATTAAAGAATTCGTTTGTGGAAATGTAAACCATACATGCAATACAACAAAGAGAAACAGTTTGATATAATCTCCAATTTTGTATTTCTTTTCAAAAAAAAAAAATTACAAGTTTCAGTACGAGAGATTGGGATACAGTTGTTTGCGGAAAGAAACAAAAAATACAAAAGATCAAAAAGAAAAAATCCTAAATCTAATCATCCGTCAGGTCGACGGGCATAGACGCATCTGCAACAGCGGGAGGAGTGGAGCGGGCTGGAGAAGACCGGGCTGTGGGCTTGGGAGCTGGTGCATTGACGGGTGACCTGGCCGGCACCACGGCGGGCTAAGAGTTGGGAGGAGTGCTCGATGGCTCCTGTTCAACCACCTGAGCCCCTTCCACCCATCCGTCAAAGGAGGGCAGCCCCATTGGATCCTCCCCCTCCTCTAAGACTGAGGGAGGCCAAACGGCTACTCCCTCCTCATTGAGGTCCCACCTCAGCCGCACTGTGGTATCAGCGAGGGGAGCAAGGCTCTTACCCTGCTCGTCGAGCTCCTCCTCGTCAAAAAACACCAGCTTGCGTATGGGGAAATCTGGGCGGTGTTGCAGCACCTTTCCACAGATCTCGTTGTAGATCTCCGTGGTCACGTTTGCAGACGCCACCGCCACAGCGTCTTGGAACGCGGCCGACCCTACTAGCCATTCTGCCCCCTGAGCTCGGGCGATGCTTATGGAGCGCCCGTGTGATGCCTTCAGCGTGTTCAGGGCCTCCTTAGCTTCATTAAGGTTCTAGGTGGCTTGGGTGACTTGTCGCCTCAGGGAGTTCATCTCGTTCAGAGCATTGTCCCTCTCGGCCTCAGCTCTCTTGGCCCGTTCCTCAACCCGGGCGGCCTCACTTTTGCCGCCTGGATCCCGCTTTCTTTTTCTGCACGGGCTCGCTCCATCTCCTCCCTGAGCTCATTATTTCTATTCGCGAGCTCGTCTACTCGGCTCTCCGCTGCAGCAGCTCGATTGGCCATCTCCGAGCCTTGCAGACGATTGACATCATCCGCAAGGCTAGCCTTTTCTGCGGCTAGCTGTTTGCAGTTGGCGCTGAGCTCGTTATTCTGTGAGCGAGCTGCTTGCTCGCTCTCGAACAGCGCCACCGCATAGCTGAACGCCTGCCAAACAGCAACAACTGTAAGTCTCTAGAATGGAATAGTAAAGCAATTACGCAAGTGTGAGTAAATACTTACATCCATCAGCTTGACCATGGCGACCTGCCCGCCATGCTGCTGCACAAACGTCCTTGCCCGCTGACGATCCACGGGAGGCACAAAGCTTTGCATGCCTTGCACCATGGCGGGCTGGTGGTCAGGCTTCACGTAGCTGAAGCCATCTAGATACGCGATCCTAGGCGCCGACACTGAGGCCGACGCAGATGCGGGCTCCGCTGCTGCCCGCACCGTGGCTGATGGCGCGTTTGATGAGCGCGTGGCCGCAGGTTGAGTTGCCTGCGCGGGCTGGGTCCCCCCACTTGTTCTGCGTCGCATGAGGGGGACCTCATCTTCACTGTCAGTCTCCTCATGTGCACGCCTGCGTGCATTGGGGGCTGCAGTTTCAACCCGCTGGTTGGCGCGAGGCCTGGACGCTGAGCTCGATCCACGGTGTGACGAGTTGCGTGATTGTGGCGCTGGGGGCGACTGCTCGTCAAACCGTGTCTGTCTTTGTGGCGCGCTGCCCGACGCGCGGCCTTGGGAACCCTGGGCGCGCTGGCGCTGGCGTTCCAGTATGCTGTTCATTTCTCCTGCACAAACAAATACATAAAACTCAGCTCGGCTAGAATTCAGGATATATGATAAAAGCATACCTTCGGTGAACAGGTTTGCCACGTCAACAAACCCGAACACGGTGAGCTGCTCCGAGGTAACCAGGGCTTCCAGATCTATCAAATGCTCCCTCCTCGCATGTTCCAGCAGCTGACTCTTGAAATCAGTGTCCCGTGGCAGCAGTTGAGGGTAATTGACGTGTGCATTCGGCACACGCCACCCAGATAGCGGAGCAGCGAGGTTGTTGCTTATTCTCTCTGTTCGCGTATCGCGAACAAAGATGAATTGCCTCTTCCACCTCGTTACTTTGTTCCTGACATTCTTGAACAGTTGGCTCTTCTCTCTCTCGGAGAGGTAATACCACTTTGCGCCTCTAGAGTTGGGACACAGCCGGCACTAGAACAGCGACCTGAACACTATCGCCTTCACCGGCACCTCCAATCTCGCACACAACAGCATAAAGCCTATGATGAACCTTATGTTGTTGGGCGTCAGCTGCGTCAGAGCCAGCTCGTAATCCGCCAGCAGGTCGAATACTAGCCCGGGCAGGGGAAATCGTAGACCAGCGTCAAAGTGATCCATATACACTAGTATCCAGCCCGTCTGTGACACCGTGCATGCCTTCTCATTCTGCGCGCTAGTTTGCAGCAATATCGTCCTGGGGATGTGGTACGCCCTCACCATATCCTCTAGTTTCCTATACCCACTTATTGAGGGCGCACTATCTGCTACTTCGTGATGAAGCACCACTTTGAATCTAAATCCAACGGGCAGTTCCTTGGGTGCCTTATGTAGATTGCTCAATCTACCCGTGATCGCCCTACTTTCCCACTCCCCAACCACTGGTAGATCTGAGACATTGCCAACCACATTTCTCGTCCTTTCTTCGCGGCGGGGCGTCTCTCTAGAGGACGAGCTGCTGGACGATGAAGTGTGGTGGTTGCCACCGTTGCCCCTAGCGCTCGAACTGGTGCTGCTCTCAGGCGTTAACGTTTCCGGCAAGTCCTGCAGCGCCGACGGCACTATCATTGCGATAGGCTCTACGGATAAAACCCCCTCCTCTTCTCCCTCTTGGCCCTGGTTACCTCGTAGCTCTCTAAGTTCTCTAAAGGGATCCATTTTACCTGAAATTGATGTGTAGCTGTAGTGTCTGTGGTTTGGTGCTCTGTTCTTCAAGCCGGAAGTGCTTCGCTATAGAAAATCTCAGCAGGTTATGCAAACAGTGAAATGAAAATGGAAACAGGAATGGTTATGCAAAGAATAAAACTAAATTTGCAGTATTAATTGCCGTACGCATGTCTCTGACGCGCCAGTTAGCGTCCCACACGTGGCATGCCCTTAACACCCCTTCTGCATAGCGTGCGCCGGCTTTAGCTGTCACGTCCCCTCAAATGCTGAGCCAGCATTTATGGCGGGGAGGCAGACAGATACGGGAGATCAATCGCTCAGATCAGTTGTATCTCTTCAGAGGATTTGCTAAAATCCTCCAAGATTCAGATCGTAACAGGTTGATCTGTCCCTGGTCCGGTCCATACCAGCTCGTCATGGCGACTACATTTATCAGGTTGTCATGAAATGACAGCTCGTTCAAGATCACAGATCGTTAGAGGTTCGAGGTTGCTCCACTTATCCTCGCCCCACATGAGATTCATTTTGCCGTAGCTCGGGTTCGACACCATGTCTATTCGGCGATCTCAAATCATCCTGTGATTGAGGTCGTCTCATTTTGAATCATTCCTATGCTTGAGTGAACATTACTTGGTCACTTCAAAACCTGACAGTGTCCAAGATTCGGGTCGTCACACGTCTGCTCGCTCTTATGTCAACGTGGATGAGATCACTGAAATAGCGAATAACACTCTAAGTTTGAATACATGACGATTCACTAGACGAGCTCACCTTTCCGTGAGCCACTTTAGCTTGATTATATGCCGAGCTCACATTAGCGGGGTTGTAAAATCGACCCGCACGTACCTTTTAAGACGTGAGCTCGTCTTACTCAGGGCCACCCTCCAGATCGGCCGTCAACGAGGTCGATCATGATCTGCCAAGGCTGTCCGTCCTAGTCACCAGCCCGAACGTTGGGCCACAGACACATTCAACCCAGTTCGTCAACCGAACACCGAGGGGGGAGTAATGTTGGAATAGGCCCAACGTCTAAATGGGGCTGTACATAATGGCCCTAGGTGGACATCGGCCCAATTTGAGGGAACACCAGTACAAGCATACCCACGTGAACAGCACCACGTGGCAAAATGAGATGCTTACACGTGCAGATACCTGTCAGCACTTTGGGCTATAAATACCCCCCAACTACCTCCGAAGAAGGTAATTAATCTCTACGCTTCTCTCTTTGCAATTACTCCTTAAGAGCATCTCTCTTTAGAATATCGAGTATTGCTGACTTGAGCGTTGGAGTGTTTTTCCCGAGGAAACATCCTCGGGATTTTCAGGTGTGGAAGTAGCTAAGGACTTCAACAGTGTTGGACTGTGAAGCTGCCCAAACAACACTGTAAAAGCCCGAGCACTCTAAACACGCAAGGTTCACGATTTTCCTACAATCACATTGTTTATGAGAGTATAGTTCTTTATTTTTGTTGTTAATTTCTTTGCTTCATGTCTTCCATTGCATTGGTTTTATTATACTTAAACCATGTAGTTTAAGTAATGTAATATTCATGATATATACTTTAATTTTTCATATCTTATCCATCTTTTTTTTTTCTCTTCTATACTTTTTTGTAATTAATTAGTATTTAAAAGTAAAAATGATATTCTTACTTACATTTTAAGTAATTAAAGGGAAAATATATAAAAAATAGATTTAAAAAAATACCTTCCTAATAAGAAAGAATGTTCTTTCTTATGTATATATTTAAGAAAATATATCCACCTATTATTTTAAAATATAAAATGTTTAACTTTTTTTATATGTATTTTTAAGTAATATTTTTTAATAATATATTAATGATAATTGAATTTATAAAATGTTTAACTTTTTTTATATGTATTTTTAAGTAATATTTTTTAATA